TGTCCGCTTACACTGCCAAAATTCCTTCGACGAGCGGGGTTAAGAAATCTGACCGCCAGAAGTTTGCTCCATATTGAAGGGATGAGACACAATGCAAGCTCTGCCAAGAGTCTGTGGTAGATCCTAGTTACCAAGGAAACAATACGGCACCTTTGCTTTTCTGTTCAGTTGCTAGTGTGAACTGTTGCCGACTCGAGTCCTCTTCCGCTCTCCATAACGACTAACGCCAACCAGTTCCAACAGCCGGCAGGCGCCAGACCTGAGGGGGCTTCCCCCACCCCCGCGGGCGCCACAGCGCCCCCCCCCCCGGCCCGGCAGGGAGACGCCTGGCGAGAAGGGAAAAACATAAAACGAGGCAAAAATTTGGCAGCCGGGTGCTGCTCCGCCAGTACCACCCTGTGTGTAGGTGCAGCTCTCTCCGTCGGAAGGGGACCCTCCCACTGCCGAACGCTTTTCTAAGGCCAACTGGCACCTCTGATAATTTTTTTTTTTTTTTTCTATTGCTAGAGGATATTCTCCCAGGTTTTCTCTGGGTTGGAAAAACGCAATTTTAAGAACTCTGACGTAGGGAGGGAGAGCAGGCTGCTTCTTTTCCCTTTGCCATCAGAAGCGTTACTCGTACAAAGCCCGTGTCAGCACTCAAGAGCGGGTACAAATCCGACCTGCGGTCGGTCACCATCCCGGTACCCCCTCCCGCTTACGCTCTGTTCAGCCAAAATGCCCATTTTGGTTAGGTTTCCCTAAAACCATTCCTGTTTAACACCCCCACACACACCCCCAATCGTGCAAGCGGATTGCACCATAACAGCGAATGAAATCTGGTCCCTATCGGAGGATGTTCCCGGGTTGCTGCCTGGACCCATAACATCCCATTGGCAAGGGCTTAACGGCATTGTTTTCATTAATTAAGGCCGGACACCTAATGGCAGCCAGGCGGCAGTGAGCTGGGGGGTGTCATGGCTGGTTGCTAGCTGTTGGAACTAGTTCGTAACCACATTTTTCTGTTTACCCATCCGCCTCCTTTTTCATTTCTGTCGCGTAACGCAGTATTGTTTTCCTCACCACTTCCGCATCCAGAATCCCATTAGCCCGCCACGCTCATCCACTCTGCACTCCTTGGACACAAAGCTTTAACAATCGAACCGTGTTCGGCGCGTTTTTAATACGAACTAAAATCCACGGCGCAAATGCAATACTTTTTTTAAAACGCGGCGATTTCCGAGCGTGTGAACGATGACGGCGCAGGGCCGAGCCCTCTCTCAGTATCTCGTGTCATCGCGCTGTTCTGCGGGCTGTCCTTCGCCCCGCTGCCTCTGCGCTGGGTTCGGGCACCGTACCCGTTTGTAGAGCTGCCGTTGTCCCGGTCTGCGCTTAGCCAAACGGGGTTTTTCGGTTGGTTTTGTTCTCGAGGGGGAAGGAGGCTTTTTGGTTTCGTTCTGGGCTCTTTTTTTTTTTTGTTTGGTTTTGTTCGTTTGTATATAACGAAGGAAAAACTGGAAATAACGTCAAGGTACCTCAGCTATTTAACAGCCCTAGAAAAACCGCTGTAAAATTGTTCTGGACCGCTGTAACCCTTTCAGTTACTGACGAGAAGCCACCCACCTCTGTGTGAGAAAACTTGCCTGCATTGAAATGCTGTTCTGTGCTGGTTGTACTCGAGTGTTATTTTTTTAATAGTGAGAAGATTTTTTTTTTCCTTTTTTTTATTTTTATTTGCCTTTTTTTTTTTTTCCTTTCTCCTTTTCTTTTCCCTGTTTTTGTTCCTACATTTTAGGCTGTCTTCAGAAGTTACTGGCCTGGGGGCTCTGTAATATATCTCATCATGCCCTAGTGCATTAGCCACCAGACAGGACTTTTCCAAAGGCCCATGAGACAATGCTTTCTATGGACTAATCTACAGAGGAGTTTCTGCCATTTCTAACTTTCTTATTATTCTGAGACATCAAAAGAAAACACTTCTTTTACTCTTTAAGCAACTGCGCTTCCTAACTCTTGTGTTGCTTTCATTACTGTTCCGGTTTTAACACTGTTGTGGCTCATAACATAAAAAGCAAAGAAAAGTTACTTTTGGGGGTTAATTCTCATCGATGTTCATGCTTTGGCTAATCTGTATAAAAGCATGGGCCGGCAGTGTTCCAAGCCGCTGTATTCAGCTAGAGACTCGACAGTAAACTACGTGAGACGTTTTTATAAATAAATTTTTTCCCTGATTTAAAAAAAGCAGACGTGGTAGCTGTGTGCATACAACTGTTGTGCTGTTTTAAGCTTTGTTCTTTGTAACCAAACCGCTAATTTGTCGTTTAAGACTTATTTTATGGATTGTCAAACTGAGATCGTAGACAAATTGCTTGTTTTCGTCAATGATTAAAGGTTTCATACTATCACACTGAAGGTCCC